TGTAGTAAATCTTTCTATTGTGCTTTTGGATGTAGCAAGGATCTACTATAGCATGGTCCTTAGAATGACCAGACTAAGTTTTTGCTCTCATTTGTTCCATGAAAACTGTGAACAGAAGATTTCCAATATAAATTTTAATCTCAGACCCCGGATACATTTACCAATACAATATCATGTCACTTGATATAGAAGGACTCTTCTTGGATCAAAAGCACCTTACTTTTAATAAACTTGTTTGCTACTACTATATATGTAGGGGGCTTTTCTGAAAACTAAATTTTAGTTGCATTCCTAGTATTTTTATCTCTATGATGATGAATGTGTTCATATAACTTGTGGATTTTAATCTCTTTTTGGAAAAAAAAAATCTGCCTTCAGTTTTTCTTTTACCTAACTTCCTTCCAACTTCTTGAATTCCATCATGGTGGTGGACGAAGTCATAATCAACTTTATGAGAGATGTGTGGTACATTACATTAGTCTGGTTTTTCTTGGATCATCAAAAGTTCCTCACATTTGAATAAACTGTACATATGAATAAACTGTACATTTAATAAACTGTACTAACTGTTTATGAAGGACATTTTTCTCAAAACTAAATAAAGTTGCATTCATAATAATTTTCTTTCTATGCATTAATGATGGTGAATGTGTTCCAATCACTTGTGTGTTTTAATCTTTTTCATAAACTCAGGTTCAGAAAATATTTTGAGTTTTGATCTAACTTTACTGCCAATGTCTTGAATTCCATCAGGGTGGTGGGGAAAGTCACAATCAACTCTATGAGAGATGCACATCTGCTTTGGAGAGAATAGCTAGGAAGCACATAGGTAAAGTTCTTAGACACTGTGTCAATATATTTCTAGTGAAATATTGAAAAGCATTCTATTGTGGAGTCATTATGTCTCATCGCAATTAGGTGATAAATAATGTAGGTTCTTGGTTTTGTGTGTTGTAAAACGTATTATTCAACTGTACTATGATGATTCATAAACAGAAGTAACAAGATAAGACCTGTAGTGGATTTTGGTAATAGACAAAATATAAAGGTAGACATATGGAGTTATGAATACATTGAAAGTGAAAAGTTCTTGAAGTATCAGATATGGTTATGTATAAGAAATGAACATACTCTTCAGGAGTGAAGAAAAATAACTTTTACTCTTTGCAGAACATATTGGATTGGTTACGGATTATTCCTAGTAGATTATAATGTACCTGTATTTCTTAGAAATAACTGGGAAACTGGCTTTTAACATCAAGTGCTAGAATACAAAACTAGAATTTCAACAGAATGTGGTATGTCATGCTCCTAGGCGTCCTAACAAAATGGACCATAAGTCATTTGACAAATGCAAGGTTCAGTTTTATTCAAAATCTTAACTCTGCATTCTCATGAGCATTCTGCTTAACTGGTGCGATATTAATTTGTTATTAATTTATTATCACCCGCTCTCGTAGTAGTTGGAGGTGAATCTTACTTCATGTGGACGAAATTTTCAGGGGAGCGAGTTATTGTAGTCACTCATGGAGGAGTCACAAGAGAATTATATCGTAGGGCTCGGCCCAATTGCTCGCCCCATGGAAGGATACAAAATACGGCAATGAGTATATTCCTTGTTTCTGAGAATGGTGAAAATTGGATGCTCAAAGTATGGGGAGACGTAAGTCATCTTGAAGAAATTGGAGTCCTTGAGGACAGTTTTGGCGGCGACAGAAACTCTGCATAGTCTATTTCCATATGCAGAGCAATTGCTTGGAGGAAGAAACCTTTTGAGAAGAAATAGATTAAAGGAGAATTATATGCCATTGATATATAAAGATATAACACTTGAACCTACTTTCAAAAATTTCGTTTGGCTAACTCTTTATAGAAGTGAATGATTTTTATATTGAAGAAATTGCTATTTTTTATGTTCGTTCGACAGTTTTCCTGTACTATATTATCTGTTCGACATATTACTTGGAAAGAAGAAATTTTCTAAATAAACTCATTCATATTTTTTTTCTAAAAATAGACCATTTTGAGTTTTATTTACAAAAATAGACTCATTTTATTTTAATCCGGTTGTCAACCCCGACTATTTAGGAGGTTGTAAACCCCTAATTATAACCCTAAATCCTAACATTCTATGCACTAAATAGTCGGGGTTGACAACCCCGACTATTTAGAAACCGGATTAAGACAAATGGGTCGATTTTTGTAAAAAAATCTCAAGAGGGTCTATTTTTAGGGGGAAAAAAATTATGAATGGGTTTGTTTAGAAAATTTCTTCTACCTGGAAAATGTTCTAGCAGTTTTGACCTGGGGGAGGGACTTCCTCCTTGTAATTTGTTTTGTGATTATATGAAAGTTCAGTTAAGGTGATAGTTAAACTTGTATCATACTTGAATTCTCAATAATGATTGTGCAAGTTGGCCTTTTCTCAAAGGGTAGGATTATTTCGCAATTCTGAAAAAAATCCCCCCAATATGGAAACAATTGGCATTATATATACACACGCGCATACGCTTTAAGAGTAACTATGACTTCTAAACTCAAAAAGTTTTCTTACGCTCAGATCTAAGGAGTCAACCCAGCATATACATGCGTCACTGCAGAATTAGCTTATAAAGATTTTACACTCGTATTTAGACAAGTAACTATCCTTTAATAATTACCAGAAAATATGACCGACCTCTTTGAAAGTTGGCAGAAAAATACCATTATCCTCCCTCCAAGAAAAGAGATCTATTTCTCAAATAATCATATCATATCATACTCCCTCTAAAATCACGAGTTCGGGAATATCTTTCTATGGTCAATATAATCCTTCACTATTTTAAATATTTTATTTATATCGTAATCTATCATAATTATATCTTATCCTAATCGTACGTGAACTATCTATAGCTTAACAATTAAAAAAATAATATTAATAAAATATATAAAATATCTTCATGGTATTAGTTTGTTAAGATAAAAAAATTATAAAAAAAATAATATTAATAAAATATATAAAATATCTTCATGGTATTAGTTTGTTAAGATAAAAAAATTATACGTAGCTAACGTACTATAATATATAAAAAATATCTTCATGGTATTAGTTTGTTAAGATAAAAAAATTATACGTAGCTAACGTACTATAATATATAAAGTATTGCAAAAAAACCTAAATGTTTTAAAATTGCACAAAATGCACTGAAAAGTTTAAAATTATAAAAACTATCCCGACGTCTAAAAACTTAAAACAACAAATATGAAAACAAAAAATTAGAACCAGTTTACGAAGAATTTAAAATTTGTGGTTAACATTCAATATCTTAAAAATTATAGAAACACCCTCAAAAGTTCAAATCACAAACAAGCACATGAAATTCTAAAATTTTAAAACTTACAAACAACATAGATGAAATCAAGGGATTACCATAATACATGAAAATTTCCAGCATTTCAAAACTTAAAACAACAAACATGAAATCAAGAAATTAATAACAACCTTCAAAGAATTTAAATTTTTTAATTAACACCCTCAATGTCCCAAAAATTATAGAAATACCCTCAAAAGTTCAAATTATAAAAAAATAACCCTAACATTTTAAGAATTCTAAAATTTGCAAACAACAAAAGATGAATTCAAGAGATTACCCTCGTGCACCTAAAAATTTAAAATTTGTCGAAATTAACTTCAAAGTTACAAAAGTTGTAGAAAAAACTCTTTCAAATTTTAAAAATCATAAAAACTCTAAATTTTTAAAATTTATAATCAGTACACATCAAATCTAAAAACTATTGGTAGACCGTTGAAATTTAAAATTTTTAAAAAAATCTACAGTTTTAACAATTACAAAAAATAACCTCAAAATTTTAGAGATGTAAAAAACATCATGATATTTAAAAATTACCACCGACACATGAAACATAGAAGTTACAACTACCAAACTTAAAAGTAATTTTTAATTTAGGGTTTACTATCCCTTTTAAGCATCTAAAGATAGTCTAAATTGATACTGGTAAACAAAAGCAATAAGAATTGATTAAAAATATCCGGTTAGGGAATAAAAATTTAAGAAAATATTATAGCTTAAAAGTTATTGTTACCATATAAATTAAAGTAACTACATAAAATTTTATTAATAAATTGGACCAGCAAAACACATTAGTAACATTAATTGATAGATGTTTAAATCCATAAAAATGGTAAAAAAGTATAATATAATAACTTAACATTAGTTAATTATAATTTTAAAATATTAGTCTCTGATGTTAATAATCTTTATAGGATAAAAGAATATAATAAATTATGTATGAAGAAACTATCAGAATGTTCATAGATATCCTTCAAAAGAATCAAGCAATTTCCATTGCAAATGGGAAAGTGACGAAAATAAATCTAAAATTCAGAAAACATCCATAAATCATTTGAATTGGCATTAACATAAGGCATGTCTATTAAAGAAGCATCAACTGAGTTACATTAAAGAACAATTTAGTAACTTTATCCCAATCAAAGAAGAATTCTTTATGGAAGATATAAGAAAAATTAGTAAGCATTCATAAATTTCATACTTTGTTCTTCAAATACTAAATAAATTAAATATTAATATTATAATCTAAGAAAAATTGGCAATAAAAAATATAGGTATTTAGTTTAGATATTTGTGGAAAATGACAGGGATAAAGCAAATGCAATAGTATTGACGTAACGGAAACTCTTATTGGATGCACATCGAAAGAATTCATTATAGAAAAAAGAGGTAACTCTTAATCTTATTTAAGTAATAAATTAGAAACACAAAGAATTTTATATATAAGAGATTAATATTTATTCTCATTAAAATAAAAAAATCAAAGTTTGTATTTTAAGAAGTTTGTGTTGAATATTGGAAATACATTTAACTTTTTTGTGAAATTAAATGACAAGATAAAAGATTAATGAGCCCATGAAAGATAACAACACAAAAAAATATAACTCTAACCTGATATCACAATCGAGTAGATGATGAAAACACTACTCTAGAATTGCGCAAGAAAAAGATAAAGGTTAGGAATGATTAATCTTAGCTTAATAAAAAAATAAAATATAAGGAATAAAAGATAATTTTTTATGAATATTTTATAGAATAATTTAATTATTTTGAGTGAATATAGGAATTTTTAGAATGGAGTTTCATGAGCTTTTTTTAGTACTTTTATATGCTTGTGCATATGCTTTTATCATATGAAAGTATACTAGAGTTAACATTAATATTTAATTTATAATTTTTTATGAAGTCTATCAATGATCAGGAACAAACTTCATATTCTCTTTTGTATCTTTTAACATACTTTTAACCAATCATTTTGACTTATTGGTTTTAAATATTCACCTTCCTTGTATAACATTATTTTAATATTTTTTACTTTTGCAACATTATACTTTCTCAAGTAAAGCTTGGTTTCATATCAGTTAAAATAATATGAAAATTTAAATTAGCTTCAAATTATATTTGTTTTCTATCAATTCAAATATCAACATGAAAATTTAAATTGGGTGAACCCCATTTAAACAAACATCAAAGAAAATAAATAATCACTATATAAAAGTTTAGTGACAAAAGTGAGTATAAACTATTAAAGTAGAACTGAGAAACAAAATTTTAGTTAGAAAGTAATCTAAAAATACTTAATCATGGTATTTAACCACGTGTATTGCACGTGTATAAAACCTAGTGAAGGGAAATAGATGAGACTCGAAGCACAATCAAAACTTGACGTGGTGACGTACGCAAAACTTCGGCTCCGTTTGGATACGATGGTATTTTACTTGTTTCCATGGTGTTTTTGCTAAAAATAAAACACCATGTGTTTGAAAATCATGATATTTTTTGAGCTAAAACATTCTCAAACAAAAAACATAACACTTATTTTAAAACACATTTTAGATGTTTTAAATTTGGTGTTTGAGAATGTGTTAATATAATATCTAATATAATATATTAAATGTAATTATTATAGATCTATTATCAACATGCTTATTATATTATACTATACTATACTATATTATAGTTAATTTAATATACTAGTAATATTCATTGAATAATATAAATGTATAATAAATAAAATATCTTATATAATAATAAAATAACATATTAAATACAAATATTTAATATGTTAATAATGTATTATATAATAAATACATAATAATAAAATATAAATAAACCAATAAAAAAATAAAAGTTACTGATGATAAATAATAATATAATAATATAATAATATACTATACAATTGTATAATCGCTATAATATTATTAACTTTTTAATAAATAAATTGTAATAAGTTAATAGTTAAAAAATATTATATATAGTAACATATTTAATAATAACATAACAATATAATAATAGTATTATAATAACATATTGTTTATTAAATGTAATATAATATATAAAATATTAATATACTATGTAATAAATAATATTATTTATTATAAAGTAAAATAATTTTTAATAATAAAATAATTTATTACTAATAAATGTTAATGTAATAATAATATATTCATAACACAATAATATTTATTTATATCATAAATACTAATATATTATTAAAGTACTATTAATAAACTCTAACATATTAATAGTATAATATTATATTAATATTAAAATAACATTATCATAAAAATATTAATATAATATACACAATAACAAATTGATTTACCAAAATAATTAAATATATAATTATTTGAAAATAATATGTAATAATTATAATATAATATAACTCGTACAATATAATATTATAATACATTATACATTATTATATTGCGTCACATTTAATAATTATAATACTATAACAATATAAACTAAATATTATAACATCTTATTCATAATATATTTTATTATAATTAATATATTAATAATATGTTTAATACTAATGTTATAATGAGTCAAACTAGTGTTGACCAAAAATACTTAACATGGTGTTTTGATAATATTTTAAGAGAAAAAACACAACACCATGGTGTTTTTTTTACTAAAACACAATAAGAAAAACACTATGGTGTCGTTTAATACTGATATTATAATGGGTCAAATTAATGTTAACTAAAAATATTTAAAATACTGTTTTAAAAACATTTTAAGAAAAAACACAAACTCATTGTGTTTTTTTATTAAAACACAACAAGAACAAGAAAAACAATATGGTCCGCAAACAAAGCCTTCGAACTCTTCTGATTTCGAGTCCTCGCGCTCGCTACGGTTGAAAAACGCCTCATTCTCTCCGCAGGCCCTTCTCATGTCCAAGTCCAAACTCCTCATCCCCAAGATCAAACCCCCCCCTAAAACCCTACCAAAACCCTCTCCCAAAATCCTCAAACTCGCCAGAAAAATACCCCAGATCCTCAAAACTCCCAACTGGGAACGGACCCTCAATGAAAAAATCCAAGAAGAAGAAGAAGAAGAAATCCCCTCCATCCTCTCTCAAATCCCCGACCCAGCCTCCGCCCTCGCCTTCTTCCACTGGGCCCACCACCTCCGCTCCCCGTGGGCCCCACCCCCAGACTCCCTCTCCTACTCAGCCCTCCTCGAGAACTTGGCCCATCACAATCTCTTCTCAGAAATCGATTCCACTCTCAAAACCATGGAGACCCATCAAATTTGTCCGTCGCCCGAGGCCTTCAGTGCTCTAATTGGTGCGTATTCTCGTGCACAATTGGATGATAAAGCTATTGATTTGTTCTGTAGTATGAATGAAACTATTGGTTCTTTTCCTGATGTTGTTGATTGTAATTGCCTGCTGAAGTTACTTGTAGAAAAGGGTCGCTTTGAGTGTGCCCGGAAATTGTATGATGAAATGCTTGAACGAAGCGTGGCGGATAATTATAGCACTTGTATGATGGTTAGAGGGTTTTGCTTGCAAGGGAGAGTTGATGGGGCCAAGAAGTTGATAGAGGATAGGTGGGGACCCGATTGCATTCCCAATGTCGTGTTCTATAACACATTGATCGATGGGTATCTTAGGATTGGGGAAGTTAGGAAGGGTTATGCGATGTTTAGAGAGATGGAGGTGAAGGGATTCTTGCCTACAGTGGTTTCTTATGGTGTTGTTATTAATGGGTTCGTGAAGAATGGGAATTTTCCGGAGGTATATAAGTTGATTAATGAAATGAAAGTAAAGGGTTTGAACCCAAATGTGGAGATTTACAATAGTATTATTTATGCTTTGTGTAAGCATGGTTCTATTGTTGAAGGCAAGGCGGTTTTGAGGCGGATGATTGGGGATGGTTGTGAGCTGGATATTATAACTTATAATGTTTTGATTTGCGGGCTTTGTCGGGATGGGAAGGTTAGAGAAGCTGAGCAACTTTTAAGGGAGGCAATTAGGAGAAATTTGATTCCAAATGCATTGAGCTATACCCCTCTTATTCATGGGTACTGCAAGCAAGGGGAAGCTGTTATTGCTTCAAACTTCATTATTGAAATGATGGAAAGAGGACACAAGCCAGATATAGTAACTTATGGAGCTCTGATACACGGGCTTGTCATCATTGGGGAAGTTAATGAAGCATTGGTGATACGAGAGAAGATGATAGAAAGGGGAGTAGTTCTTGATGCCAATATCTATAATGTATTGATTAATGGACTTTGTAAGAAAGGAATGCTCCCCAATGCTAAAATGTTACTTGCTGAGATGTTTGACCGAAATATCCTGCTTGATCAGTTTGTTTATGCTACACTAATTGATGGGTTCGTTAGGAACGGAGACATAGATGAGGCAAAGAAAGTCTTCGAATTCATGGGTCAGAGAGGAATTAGGCATGAGGTTGTTGTGTTCAATGCCATGATCAAAGGATATTGTAAACATGGAATGATGACCGATGCAATTTCGCATGTAAATAAGATGAGGCAGGATGGATTTCTTCCTGATGAGTTCACATATACCACAATTTTAGATGGTTATGTGAAATTAAGTGACTTGGATGGGGCTTTTGCAGTATTCGGGGACATGGTTAAGAGAAAATGCAATCCTAATGTAGTCACATATACCGCACTTATTAATGGATTTTGCCGCGAAGGGCAGCTCGGGACAGCCGAAACTCTGTTCAAGGAGATGAAAACTTGCGGTCTTGTTCCAAATGTTGTTACATATAGTATTCTAATCGGTACCTTTTGTAAAGATAACAAGATTACGAAGGCGGCTGCCTTCTTTCAGGAGATGTTACTTCGTAAGTGCCCTCCTAATGACGTGACGTTCAACTATTTAATTAATGGTCTAACTAATAGCATATCTCAACTTGATTCCATTTGGAAAAGTATTAGTCAAGAACATAGCGAGTCTGTGTTATTGAACGTCTTCGTGAAAATGATATCTGATGGATGGGATTATAGAACTGCAGCATATAATGCAATCATATTTTGTCTCTGCAAACATCAAATGCTTACAAAGGGTTTGGATTTGAGAGAGAAAATGCTTCAGAAAGGTTGCTTACCTGATTCGATAACATTTCTTTCCCTTCTCCATGGAATTTGTGCAGATGGAAGAGCAGAGGAGTGGAATCACATTCTTACTTGTGATTTTCAGCGAAATGAACTTGAAACTGCTCTTGCCTACACTCAGCTTCTAAACAAATACATAAATCAAGGGGCATCTTCTGAGATGTTATCAATTTTGTATTCATTGCTTGATGATATTAAAATGGTGGAAGAGAAGTAGCAAACAGTAATTATATTTGTTGAAACTGCATTTACTAAAACAGAGTGGCAGAGGACTCTATTTCTTCTTTCAGATAAGAACCATTACAGAGATGGATCAGGCGTCAATCAAGGGATCCAATTGCAGAATGATTAATCAATAGGGGCTCCACAATGGTCTTCAGATGAAATGGTAGCTTCTAGAAAATCATTCTTGCTTGGGAATGAGGAAGTCCCCTTTGTTGCCTATACATGGGATTAGAGTATGACATGGTCTAGCTGCATATAATCTTCTCCTACTGCAATATCTGGGACATGACATGTCAAAATGCCTACATTTGGAGGTATTGGGCTCTTCAGTGTTGTAATCTTTCTGTCTTGATAAAGATCATGTTTTTGTTAAATTTGTTTTCTGATCATCTCCTTTATTTTTGTATTCTCTTTGTCTAATTTTGCAGGCAAAGCTTTCCCATTTGACAGCTTGACATAAGCATTGCGGAATCCATATTTGAACAAATGGTTCCTTGTACAAGCAGTCATGCCAGTGAACTTACTGGATATAATAATATTATGGTGAGAACTCTTCATGCATAAAGAGTACCATGGACAACCTCTAATCCATTTTTATAAAAGCTCGTATAAATTGATATACAGACAGATTAATCTGTTTAAAATTTTAATTTCATGCAGCGTTTCTCAAATGGTCAAGGAGTAGATGCATTTAATGTTTTTCAGCTCCAGGAAAATCTCAAGCTTTAAGAGTGAAGTTCCGTGCTCGAGGTCTTCTTTCTCAATAGAACAAAAGGGTAAGTCATCTTTGAGATCTCATCTTAAAAAGGGGTTGGTACTACAAATGCTAGCATAAGTATAAATGGCGTTGATGTCTTGATGATATTAATATATGACTATAGCGTAGTACTAGACTATAAACTCAAGTTACATTGGATTCTTGATATGTGTGGAGTAATTTTATTTTGAAAGAAATTAGACAAAAACACACTATTTCTTCTATTTTTGACTAGATTCAATAATATTTTATTCAGCATCGAGGTATAGATTTAAGTGACCTTCTTGTTAGAAGTTTTACACCTGTCATTCTTCTTGATACTTACGACTTACGACATCTTGCAAGATGAATCCCACCCACATGCCAAGTCTGTAATAGATTACAAATAAAAGCTGTTTCCAAAATTTCAATGTGATAATATGTGGTTGAGCATTTGTTAAATTAACACTAAAAGTTGTCCTACAAAGTTATTAGTTACTCTTTACTGCAGAAGAAGGGAATCCTTTATCTTTAATAATTTGAACTTTGAAGATTTTAGCATACCCTAAGGGGGTGTTTGGTTGCACAATTTAATAGAAAAGTTTTCTCAAAATGTCTGATAATGACAATTTTGTAATTAAATTTTTTTTGTAAATTTCCGTAAACTGTGTTTGGTTCAAAAGAAATTTACAGAAATATTTCTTTTAAGTACAAAAAAGTACCAAAATTTACAGAAATTAATTTCCTTTCAAAATGGACGGAAATCACCCAGAAATCTGACACCACATTGACACTTTTCTATAAAGTTGACACTTTTCTATAAATTTAGGGGGTGTTTGGTTCAATTTCTTCAAATTATAGGAAATCTTGCTATTTTCTATAAAGTTATGGGCAATTTTCTTGTTTTGAACCAAACAAGCAAAGTAAAAAAAACAAGAAAAGTAGTACTTTTTGACTTATCAAAACTTTTTCTATAATTTTTTTAAGAAACACAATGAAATCATATTTTGGGTGGAAAACATTTCCTATAATTTGTAGAAATTGAACCAAACACGCCCTAAGCTCGGGATCTAGCTTTCGTATACTTGATCCCATTTAGGTTTTCCAAGCTTGTTGAATTAATTGCATCGATTTTTTCTTTTCTTTTGCTCAAACAGTTCATTCAAGTGTTATTCACACTTCTCTCTGGCAGATGTGGCCATGGGATAGGACCAAAATTTTACACCTAGGTTCGTCATTTGGGTTTGTTCTCAAGGATTTTTAATGTTTTGTTGATATGTTAAGAGTGAACTGTCATTTACTTTTCATGAATGTTTTTTTCCTTTTTTTTCTTTCTAGTTTAGTTTTTCCTACTATCCTAATTTTTTCTTCTTCTCAAAGATATAACTGGTTTAATGAATCGTGATGGTTGTCCTTCTTGGTATCGACTGATAATATTGGGATTTTTTCTTCTATATGAAGAGGATCTTACAGTACGCAATTTGGCGACAAATGAGAATCAGGAAGCTTGTGTTTATTTACTTGAACCAAAATGTTCCCTGGGAGTCTTTTCTTACTTCTTCTACTTGTGTTTGAACAATTTATATTGGATTGTGGTGCCCTTTGATTGTGTATAAATTTTTTTTTTAATTTTTTGGGGTTTTTCAGTTAATTATCAAATTTATGAAACTGAAATTATTTTATCGCAGCTGCTCCATCCGACCCAAGACGGTTCCATGTATTCCTACACCTCTAGCTGGATTTTGGTCCATCTGCTGATGCAAATTGAATTTGAGTTTTATGATTCTGTAATCAGTTAAAACTCTGGGGTTGGATTTGGTGGACGACGCAGTGCGTGGTCGAATAAATGCAAGAACTACTCATGCAGCCATTTTATTAACTGGCAGCTCATATATCAGCCGACCACGGAGCGTGCAGTATGGCTAATTTGCACCATTAATTCAGTTGATCTTGTTAATCTTGTAAAATTATTTGTTACAAATTTTTTGGAGGTAAGGATGCTTGTATGCATTTTGTTATCGCTTACAGCTGATTATTTAAACATTCTATCAGAACTATGTACTTTGAACTAGAGAACGGTTTATGTTTATGATGTTTTGTTGAACTTAATTCTAATTTATTAATTGTCCTGTATCCATTTTTAAGTAACTGATGTTAGAAATTAAGGGAAAATAAAACGAAAATAAAAAAATTACTCGCTTATAAAGCTCTTTTAACTAATTCTATAATAAAGGTTAGCTAGTGCCTAGTGACTAGAAGTAGTCTATGAGTACTTATTGAAGGGCTAATTACCACTGTAGTTTCCTCTAGTTTGCATTTATATACCTCGCTTGTTTTTAGTATCACGTATATACCCTAAAGCTTTAACAGTTACACTTTAATATATTATGTTATACAAATATCGTACATTTCTCGAATTTTCTCATGTAACATTCATAAGATATTTTTTAGAACAATATTTTAGCCTTTAATGTTTGTTGAATTCATCGTTAAATGTACTATTGTGATGAGTTCAATAGTAAATTTGACAAAATTTAGGAAAATGATAGGGGCACATCTCCAACCACACCTCTAACCACACCCCCTCTCTTGCTACAGCGCACTGGGACCACATGAGATTTTAAAATAAAATCTCAATCTCATGTGGTCCCAGTGCGCAGTAGTAAGAGAGGAGGTGTGGTTGGAGGTGTGGTTGGGAGTGTGTCCTTAATGCCTCTCCAAAATTTAATGGTTCAAAGGTTACAAAATGAGTTTGTGAGCGTGTTACGCGGAAAAACTCGGAGAAAATTTTGGAAACTTTTCAAAAGAGCTGTAAAAAAACAAGTGAGGGTATGCAAGTGCAAATTAGGGAAACGATAGGGTGTTTAGGTGCTAATCAACCACTATCCAAACACGCGCACTTCATCCCTTGGTCCACTCCAGTCTCGTCGTTTTCCGTTACTTGGTAGCCTGCCGTCTTTTTTCAATTTGTCGGCGTTGATTTTCAATCAGCAAGATAAAATCTCTCTCTATTGCAAGTCTCAACCAATGTCTTCTTCGACCGAAATCTCAAGCGACCGCGATCGAACAACGGCACCCTGCGGCAGCTGGAAGTCT